AGGAAAAAGAAAAGAAACAAGAAGAGAGACAACAGCAATGGCAAGAAAATCTGCAACAGTGGCAGCTTGAACAGCAAAATAAGCAAGCGAGATTACAGCAGTTGTTGGAGGAAAAAGAAAAGAAACAAGAAGAGAGACAACAGCAATGGCAAGAAAATCTGCAACAGTGGCAGCTTGAACAGCAAAATAAGCAAGCGAGATTACAGCAGTTGTTGGAGGAAAAAGAAAAGAAACAAGAAGAGAGACAACAGCAGTGGCAAGAAAACCTGCAACAGTGGCAGGGTTCTGAGAAGGGTTACTAGAATGGGGCTTGGAATGGAGGAAACGCTAAAATCTCAAATTGTTTTCTGTTGCAAAAGAAGAATTAGGGGGGATCTAATTGAGGCGTTTAAGATTGCAAAGGGAATTGATAGTGTTGATACATCATCTTTTTTCATATTTAATAGTTAGAATAGTAGGACTAGGGGACACAAATATAAATTTTGGCAAGGTAGGAGTCATCTTCAGCTAAAACAGTTTCTAGAACTAGAATCCTTGCTAAAGGGGAGAGCCTGCAAGAGCTGGCACAGGATTTGGAAAGTATGGCACACAAGGCCTACCAAACTGCACCATCTGATGTTCTCAAGCTGTTGCTGAGGGATTAGTCTGTAAATGCCTTGGACAGTCCACAACTGAAAATACAGGTAAAGCAAGCACAGCCCTCTACTATGCAGGAAGCAATGGCAAGAGCTCTTGAATTCAAATCCTACGTTAAGTCCAGCACAGAGGTAACAAGGTAGGTACAGTCATCAGGATTCAAGGGCAGCTTTCAGAGAGGTTTCAGGGACTTTGCTGGCACTGTAACAAACCAGGGCACAAGAGAGCTCAATGCCAGCAACTTCAACACAGGAAAGAAGACACGGCAGGAAAGGCTGCTACCACAAAAGGTTGTTGGAACTGTGGAGAGCAAGGACATATGGAGAGCCAGTGTAAGAAGAACACTACCAATAAGTCAGCTTCAAGAAACCAGTAGTGGTTGGTGCTGAGGGATGCCCACCAACACCCATTGTGAAAGTCCCAACAGCTAACTGTAAAATGGCAAGCACACATAGTGTCTACGTGACGGGCAAGCTGGATGGCCAGAAGTGCAACTTTGTCATAGATTCTGCATCTCAACAAACCCTTGTGAGTATCAACGTGCTAGATCACAAAGGAGTACCAGAAGCCATACGGAAGCTCTGTGGTGTGACAGGACATTATGCAAGGTTGTGGGAACCAGTGTGGGTAACTATTGAGCTCATGGACATAAAGGACAGACACAATATATATTTGGCTGACATTGAAGACCAATGCATACTAGAGTTGGACTACTTACTACCGAGGAAGTGTGTAGTTAACTTCGATAAAATGACACTTGGAAACAAAAAAGGCCAAATTCCAGTAAGTGTTGCTGCATCCATTGATTTGCATGTCACAGCACTTAAGTCAACTACAATACCCCCTATGTCAGAAAAGATAATTTGGGGTAGAATAAAAGAACATCCCCAATGAAGCCCAATGCTTGTGGGAGTAGTGGAAGACCCATCCAGGGCAGCGGTTTTGAAGATTGGAAGGTCATCAAGTAGTACCTATAACAGTGGCCAATTTCTCTAAATTAAGGAAGAGGCATTGTTGGTTGTGTGCCAGGAGGTAGAGCCAGTCAATGTTAAAGCAAGAAATGCAACTATAAAGAAAGGACATACACTTCCAGAACATTTAACTGACGTGTATAAGAAGA